ACACACACACTATATATATATATACATATATATATAATCTAGAAGATGAAGAAGGAGGAGGAGGAGGAGGAGGAGGAGGAGGAGGAGGAGGAGGAGAAAATGAGTTCAGGATAAAGCCTAAAGCCAAAAGGGTCTGCTGTCCATATAAGGAAAGGAAGGAAGAAATGCCAGAGATACACAGAGAAGGGAAAAAAAGTCATGGGAGGTCATGGAGAAAAACTGGCCAACTGTTAGCCAAGGATGAACCTTAAGGGTCACTATACTTGGGAACTGGGGTAGAGGGAGAGTTTAAATGTACATGTGTGTGCTCACACATATGGAGGCCAGAGAACGATTTTAAGTGTCATTCCTTAGGTGCCATGCATAATCCTTTGTGTTTGACATAGTCTTTCACTAGCCTGGAGGTCACAAATAAGCAAGGCTGGCTGACCAAGGATCTCTACCTCCTCACATCTGAGGTCTTAAGTACAGCTCACACCCATTATTTTGTTTTGTTTATTTAAACATGGGCTCTGGGAATCGAACTCAGGTCCTCAAGCTTACAAAGCAGTCCTTTATTGGCTGAGGTGTCTCTTCAGGCTGAACACTTGATCTTGAATACATAACCTCTAGAACCATAAGGGAAAACGCTTCTGTAGTTGATGCCTCCCATTCTGTCATACCCAGAAATAAGGTACCCCCCAAATCAAGGGTCAGACTTCCTACAAGTGCACTGCCACTGTAGTTTACAGAACCACCCCAGCCCATGGCTCACACACTTCATCAGTGTGAGAGAGCGAACTTTAGCGTCACAGCCATCGAGAACTTGAATGAAGCCAGTCGAGCGTCACTGGTCAGCCTCTGTTTGACCTTCCCCTGGGAAGGATTAATGGCCAGCCCTTTGTGTTATTAGAAGGACTCACTCTTTCCACATTCAGTCAGACCTGAGTGATATGGGGGTTGGGGGAGTTGTTTCTCACAGTCATAGGTTGGCCTAAGCCCAGTGTTGATACTCAATGCTCCTAGGTCTGGGCTGGCAGGGACTAGGTCTGGTGTGGATAGTATTGTTGATTAAGGACAGAGAAGAGTCCTAGGCCCGTCGATAACTTGGTGGCCCAAATGATCTTGCCTTTTCTGCTTTAATTCCATGACTTCTCTTGGAGCCAGTTTTTCCTACTAATGAAATGCTTTCAAGTAAGCCCAAGTCCATGCTCAGTGACACAGTCTCCCCAGAAAGCTCGCACCACTACTCATTTGACCATAAAACACTTTTGTCATTCTTTGCTGGCCTTAAGTTTTATGCAGGCACAGAAAGTGCTCTGTAGATGTCTGTCCCAATTAAAGACCTGGTACTCAAAAGTCTGTCTGGTTTTTGTTTTTGAAGAGAGTTTTCATACATCCCCTGCTGGCTTCAAATTATATAGCTAAGGATGATCTGGATTTTTCTAGTCCCCCTGCCTCTATCCCTCCAAATACTGGAATTATAGGTATGTACCACAATAGTCAACTTACATGGTATCACTCTCTCTCTCTCTCTCTCTATATATATATATATATATATATATATATATTTCTAGGTGTTTATTTAGCCATCATCTAAATAGCTATTAACTTATACATCTGTCCATCATCTATCATCTATTATCTATCCATCTATTTATATCCATCACCAACCATCTATCCACCATCTAGTTGTCTGCCTAGCCATCCATCCATCCATCCATCCATCCATCCATCCATCCATCCATCCATCTATCCATCTATGCATCTATCTGTCATCTGCATTTGCTGATTCTCTGGAGAAACCTGACAGATGAGAAGCAGAGCCAGGCCAAGAAGAGTTACCTGGGGTGGATTACCTTGCCTGGTATAGGTGGACTTTTCTTTCCTTTTCCACCTGTTCCCAAATAACCAATACAAAGACTCGATATTAATTACAAATGCTTGGCCAATAGCTCAGGCTTATTACTAACTAGCTCTTGCAAATTAAATTAACCTATTTTTATTAATCTATGTGCTGCCATGTGGTTTGTGCCCTTACCTGTCCTTGAGCATGTCTTGCTCCCTCAGCATCTCCTGGAGACTCTTCTGACTCTGCCCTTCTTTTTCTTCCCAGAATTCTTCTAATCTGTCTCTTCTGCCTAACCTTACCCTGTCCAGCTATTGACCAGTCAGCTTCTTTATCAAATCAATCAAAGCAACAAATATTTGTAGCACAAATAATAAAAACTCAGAGACAGATTCTGGAGTTAAAGCTGAAGATCAGAAAAGCAAAGTGACCAGCCACTAGCTCTTACCTCTGTCTCAGACTGAAAAGACAATCCTGTCTCCACAAATCCTCAGACTGAATCCAACTGCATCTGTTTCCACCAAACCTCAGACTCTCCTGACTGCACCACTCCTCAGAATTCACTGCTCCCCACTAAACCTCTGACTGTAATGAGTTCCTGTCTCTTTCTACCTTATATTCCTCTCTCTGCCCCGCCACATCACTCCTGTCTCCACCTCCTTAGTGCTGGGATGAAAGGTATGAGCTGTGTTTCTCTTTTAGACTGATGCACTCTCATGTAGCCCAGGGTGGCCTTGAACTCACAGAGATCCATCTGCCTCTGTTTTCTTAGTGCCTGGCCTCTATGGTTGTAACTAGCTTTGCACTCTGATCTTCAGGCAAGCCTTATTTGTTAGATCATAAACAAAATATCACTACATACATTCACACAGTATAAAGGAATATTCCACAGCCTGGATTGATGAATGTCAATCTGTGATTATTACTGAACTTCTCCACACAATAAAAATCACAAAGGGGGGGGGGCTGGAGAGATGGCTCAGAGATTAAGAGCACTGACTGCTCTTCCAGAGATCCTGAGTTCAATTCCCAGCAACCATATGGTGGCCCACAGACATCTATAATGAGATCTGGTACCCTGTCTGACCTACAGGCATATATGCAAGGAGAATGCTATATATATATAATAAATAAATCTTAAAAAATCACAAAGGGGCCACTGATTCACTTCTATTCTTTGGGTTGGACTTATAGCCCTAGATTCTTCCAAAATTATCTAAGACTTCCATCTTACCTCATCAATTCAAAACAATAGGCCTACACAGGAAGGCCCTTAAACCCCATAACTGGGATGCTGGAATTACAACATTGGCTACTGGGTTTCATGGAAGCTGAGGAAAATGTTCTATTCTTTTTATGATAAAGGGAAACATGCAAATTCATAGTGGGCATGTGTTCTTGCTGGGTATCACACTAAAGCCAGAGTTTGTGCTTGTTGAGAACCATGAGTTTGGTTCACAGTTTTTTCTATGAAGATTCTTCCAAGCAATGTTAAGACCCTACAGTATTCAATCAAAGATCTTCTGTAGTTTGAGAGACAATCAATTTAAACCAGTTTAACAATAAAACTTGTAATCAAGTAGGAGGGAACTAGTTTTGCTTGAGTTTAATGCCTTAGGTTTCCTTGACTTCTCCTGGCCTCTCTGAGTCTTCAGTACTGCCTCTGTTCTCCTCAGGAAGAAGTCTCTTCCTCTAGGACTTTCATGACAGGGTGAAGACTCTGCGGCTGACACCCAAACATTTTCTGAGACAACAGCTTCTACACTCAGTATTTTATTGAGTAAAAACAAGTGTGTGTTTCCTCTTTTCTCTGTGAGTTACTTAGTCACCATCTGTCTAGGGCAGAAGATGAAGTCTGGAAGGAAATTTTTTCTTCCTCTTTTTGCTAATGAGAATCTGGCAGAGGAGTGAAGCTAGGAACTGCACTAAGCTCTCTAGAGCAGGAGGGGGAGAAAATATGCCCTTCCTAGATGTGACAGACAAATGAGCCAAAGACAACCTGCATAGTTTATTGGTATCAAGGAAGGCATCATATCTTGCAGGTGGTGCTGACTTGTGGTTGGTACCAACTTTTGGAAGTAGTGACAACTTGTGGAGTTGGGGCTGACTTGTGGAAGTGAAACCAACTTATGGCCATGGTAGCAACTTGTGTAGGCAGTATCTTGAGGTTGTTACCAACTTTTGGTGGTGGTACCAACTTATAGAGACAGTGCCAACTTGCAGATATAATACGGACTTGTGGAGGTGAAATGGACTTGTGAAGGTGAAACCAGCTCGTAGAGGTGGTGCCAACTGGCAGAGGATACTAGCTGATGGAGGTGGTACCAACTCGTGGAGATGATACTGGATTATATATGGTACCACCTTGAGTGGTACAGACTTGTGGAGGTGGTATCAACTTTTGGAGGCAGTGCCTACTTGTGGGCGATACCAATTTTGTGAATGTTGTACCATCATATAGAGGTGGTTTTAGCTGTAGATGGCACTGCCTTACAGAGGTGTACTGACTGGTGAAGGTGTATATTAGTCAGGGTTCTCTAGAGGAACAGAACTTACAGAAAGAAATATAAATATTAGAATGACAGGCTGTGGTCCAGCTAGTCCAACAATGGCTGTCTACCAACAGAAGGTCCAAGAACCCAATGGTTGGTCAGTCCATGAAGCTGGATGTCTCAGCTGGTCTTCACTGTACACCAGAATCCCAAAGAAATAGGCTCTAATGCTAGCAAAGCAATGAATTTGCCAGCAAGAACGAGAGCAAGCAGGAGATGAGCAAAATCTGCCTTAGTCCATGTCCCTTATATTAAAAGCAGATCCCCCCTGCCACTTCAAATAGTTTAATTCAGAAAAAAAATCCTCACAAGTATAACCAGCTACTTGAGTTTTAGTTAGTTCCAGATGTAGTCACGTTGATAGTCAACAGTAGTCATCACAAGGTGATACTGACTTGTGGAGATGGTACTTACCGACTTGGGTGTGGCGTGGAATTGAAGTGGTAATGATTGTGGTTAGTTCCAGCTTGTGGAAGTGAAACTGGCTGGAGGTGGTACTGACTTGTGTGTAGAGACTTACGGGGGTGGTACTGACTTGTGTGTAGAGACTTCCAGGGGTGGTACTGACTTGTGTGTAGAGACTTCCGGGGGTGGTACTGACTTGTGTGTAGAGACTTACGGGGGTGGTACTGACTTAAGAAAGTGGTGTTGATTTGCAAGGTGAAACTGACTTGGGGAGGTGGTACCTCAGCACCCTGCGAGAAGAACACAAGGAACTGAACTGCAGTGGGATTCGGTATGTATCAGAACTGAGGTCAGGGCAAGAAGAAGCTACAGCATCAAGGCTGGGGCATCAAGACTGGGGGATGATGTGAGAATTTCGAGTTAAACTCATTTCCCTCGTTATCTTATTGTTGTCTCAGTAAGGTCACATGTCCCATAAACAGTATGTGAAATGCTACCACATTCTGAGAAAGCATTTCTGGAAAACAGAAATAAGGAAGTGTAATGCTGTATTTTAATAGTTCAGTGTTTTTCTTCCTCTGGTTTCCTAGATTTCCTGGTTTGGTCTGCTTGCAGGTAGGAAGGGGAGAGGCAGCTAAGCAAATGGGGAAGAAATCTGCATACCCAGGAGAGAATGCATGGTCAGCCTTTGTGTCTTTTCAATTCTTTTCTATTATTTAGGAGGAAAATCAATCTTTGATCCTAATATTATTCCTTTAACTTTTCTTGTCAAGGTCAGGAAATTCTAACCATGCAAATGTCATTCTTACATTCTTGAAAAGCAGAAGTCTTTTTTCTTTGTTTTTTTGTTTTGTTTTAGTTGTTGTTGGTTTTTTGTTTTTTGAGACAGGGTTTCTCTGTGTAGCCCTGGCTTTCCTGGAACTCATTCTGTAGATCAGGCTGGCTTTGAACTCAGAGAGATTCAGTTGCCTCTGCCTTTTGAGTGCTAGGATTAAAGGTGCGCACCACCAATGCCCAGCAGATCTTCTCTTTTTTTTATTTAAAGCTATTAATATATCTTTTGAAATGGAACCACAGATAATAAGAACAATGAATAGTGACTTGCTGCAATGTGGCTAATTGACAGTCCTGGTTACTTGAAATTGACCATTCTTCAGAGAAACTTCTAGTAGCAAAAGGCAAAGGTTCATCTTTGGGAAATTCCAGGCTCTCTGGGTAGAACCTTGGTGTGTTTTTCAACCTGCTATGTTGTCCCTCCCTGCCTTGATGCTACTTGAAGATGGAACTCAAGGTGAAGCCATTAAAAGAGGGTGTGTGTCTGTGTGTGTGCCCATCCATGCAAAAGCCATAAGGGGAGATCAGGTATCCTGTGCTATAATTCTCCACCTTATTCCCTTGGGTCATGGCCTCTCACTGGACCTAGAGCTATTCTGGCAGTCAGAAGTCTCCACCAAGGTATAGGACCATGCCACAAAAAAGATTTTCCCATTCCAAAGCAAACCTCTATTCTAGTGTGAGAACATGAGACCCTTGTGTTTACAGAGGTTATCCTCACCTAAAAAGTGTTTCTGCTGATGTCCATCACTGATTCTCTCTCTTCTCTTGACAGAGTTCCATGGTGTCTTCAAAAGGTACATGCTATTTTCAAATAGCTAATTAAAAGAGGAGAGAATCTTTCAGATCATCTGTCTTGTCCTTGTTCTTACTCTTGATGTGTCCTGTAGGCTACTCTCATCATAAAGACAGTATGAGTGACTGTCTCAGCATTTCTCTTCATTAATGCTATTGGAAATTGATGAGTAGCTTTTGGAAACTGTGGATTTTTTGCAAGAATAATAGCCCTTATTTATTTTTGGAGGACCCATGTGGCTTTCTAAGTAAATATTGTAGAAAATCTACCCCTCAAAATAAACACTCCAAGTAATTGCCTGATAGATGAAGTTGACATTCTGGCTTTGTGATTTGCTATGATATGTAAAAATCTAATTTTCTTCATGGAATGACACCACTGCAAAATTGTGAGTCAATTAGAATTGGTGGCTTGCTCGGAGCATGAGGAATAGCTTTAGTGATGATGTATCAATATTGATTTACAGTTTCTTAAATCAACCTAAATCCAATTGGGAAAATGTTAAACAGATGAGTAAATGTGGCAGAGTGATAAAGATTTTAGTCTTCCCTTTCGGAGCTGATGTGCCCCCAAATCTCTTAGAGAATATATTTGCTGATGGAGGATTTGAGAACCCTGACACACTTCTGAACACACAAAACAAGCTTATTAGGTCAATAACAATTCAAAGTTGATCTAAGTCTTTACCATCTGAATGGTGAGACAAGAAGCTGACAAGAGCTTGTGGAATGCTTGCTGAACTCAGTTTCTGTATCTTGATATTATTAGTCAGTATAGAACAGACTAGAATGTCGAAACAAACAGCCAGACAATGCAGAGATCCCTCTTAGGTAAACATTTGCAATGAAAAAGATGTCCAATAAAGTCTAGCAATATCTTTAAATGCAGAGTTCATGAAAAGCGCTCATTAAATTGCCACCCCAAACAGAACACAAGAACCTTTGCCCGTGTTGGTTAGGCTGCTTCGGGCGCTTATTAACATTCTGAAATAAATTTGAAAGCTTTAAGAGAAGTTGATGTTTTTGTCTTGTTTTGTTTTTTAACCCTACTTTGAGCTTTTAAAAGTGATAGTCACAAAGGCCAATTGTCTGGGAATGCTAAGAGAACCTTTTTACAGGTTGATTTACCAATGGAATGAATTACCTTGTGTAATTCGTGTTTCATGTAAGCTTATTTTGAGGGCAGTCTGTGTAGGTATATGAATGCTGAAGTCAGTGCTGGCTACATGACAAACACAGGATAACAATTAAATGCTCATGGCTATGGATTGAAATCACTTTTAGTACTTTAGTATTATCTGAGATGTCAGACAGTATGAGCATAGAGCAAGGATAATCGACTATTTAGAATTTGTTCCCTGCCGGGCGTTGGTGGCGCACGCCTTTAATCCCAGCACTCGGGAGGCAGAGGCAGGCGGATCTCTGTGAGTTCGAGACCAGCCTGGACTACCAAGCGAGTTCCAGGACAGCCTCCAAAGCCACAGAGAAACCCTGTCTCGAAAAACCAAAAAAAAAAAAAAAAAATTGTTCCCTATGACATTCTTGGTCTCCTGTAACTTCTGGTAGCTGTCTCTTTGCTGACCAGAATTCATGATGACCCTCAGTGGTTCTCGCTTTGTATTGTTTGGGGTTTCCGTGCAGCATGAGAAGCTATGGAGTGACGTCCAAAACCAAGCACACAACTACTCCAGCTTCTCAGTTGTTTCTGAATCACTCTGTGGTGTGAGAATGGAGGATGACTCAAATAGCTCATGGGAGAGATCCCCAGATCAAGAATTGGGGCCTTCAGCTAATGCCTAGCACCAGGCCAGACACGTGAATGAATCTTGAAAGTAGATTCCCTTGCTTCAGTTAAGCCTTCATAAGAAGGCTCTGTGACTAACTTCCTGAGGTGTCCTGAAAGGAACCCTCTGCCTAAGCCCCTCCCCAATTCCCTGCAAACACACAGAGCCACCTGTTGTCCTCAGCCACTATGCTCTGTGGGAACTGATTATATAGGAGATAAGGACTACCACATTTGTGTGGGGTGAAAATGCGGCACACACCAACAATGGACTATCTCTCCACAGGGAGAGTGCGGACAAATTTGGTTTTCCTCTTCATTCTTCCCAGTATTGACTTATATACTGCTCCTGGGAGAAAATATTCTACTTTGAGGAAAGTAATGGGGGGCAGGGGAGCAGGTGGAATGATAGAGTTGGATTTCTAAAGTTTGAGATCCTGGTCATATTTCCAAGTTCTGTGAGTGAGCCGCAGCAGCACTAGGCAGCTGATTGTGAATGTGTCAGAGGTCAGAAAACAGGAAGACACAGTTTTGAGTCCCTGAGATAGAAAGAAGAATCCAGGAAATTCTTTTCCTCTGCCCTTCCAGCAGGCATGGAAGATGGGCACAAGAACAGCAGACTTAGCTGTGAAAATGATTGCCATGCAAGCACAAGGACCTGAGATCAATCCCCAGCACCCATGAAAAATGCCAGATACAGAGGCACATGGGGAAGCAAAGATGGGAGTATGGGTGGGGCTCTGGCTACCTAGCCTTGCCTAATTGGTGAGCTTCAAGTTCAGAGAGGAACCCTGTGACTTAGGGTTTCTGTTGCTATGATAACACACTATGAACCAAAGAGATTTTGGAAAGAAAGAGTTGATTTCGCTTACACTTCCACATTACAGTACACCATCAAAGGAAGTCAGGACCCAAAACAAACTGATGCAGAGGCCATGAAGGGTGCTGCTCACTGGCTTGCTCCTCATGGCTTGCTCAGCCTGCGTTCTTATAGAACCCATGCCTACCAGTCCAGGAGTGGCCCTACCCACAGTGGGCTCCACATCAATTACTAATTAAGAAAATACCCTACAGGTTTGCCTACAGCCCAATATTATGGAAGCTTATTTTTTTTTCAATTGAGGTTCCCTCCTCTCCAGTGACACTGGCTTGTGTCAAGTTGACCTAACCTGGTAATGCTGTTGTGGAATCTTTATGAGGTAGAGTCTAGCTGAAGGAAGCAGATCACTGGAGGACAGGCCTTACCCTGGCCCTGGTTCCCTTCCAAGGTTACTTGTTACTTGGTATCTAGAGATATGAGGAAGCAACATCACACTCCTGCCAACACTTGTGGACCTTGCAACTTCTGCTGCCATGATGGACTGAACCCTCTAAACTATGAGCCAGAATAAGCTGCTCCTCGCCATTTTAGATTTATCCAAGTATTTCACCATACTGATGGAAGCAAACTCATAGAGCTAGTTCACTGTCCTGGTTTCACTTCCTTAACTGTTGTAAAATGTCTGACAAAAAGCAACTCAGAAAAGAAAGGTTTTACTTGACTTTCAATTCCAGTCCATCACTGGAGGGAAATCACATCACATTCATAGTCAAGAGAGGAGGAAAATAAACTCATACGTGCCTGTGTTCAGCTTGCTTTCTCTACTTTTAAAGAACCCGGGGAATGGTGCTGCCCATGATGGATGGCATTGCCTCACAGGCACGCCCACTGGCCAACCTGATCTAGGTGTCCCTCACTGAGATTCTCCTCGCAGGTGAGTCTGTATTGTGTCAAGTTGACAATTAAAACTGCCCATTGCAACCACCTAACCTCATGTACTCCTCATCCTTCTACCGTGGAAGAAGCACACATGAGAATGTGGGCATGTGTAAACGCTCTCGAGATCCATGTCTGGACTTAGCTCACTGTTGATTCTGCCCTGTCCTGTTGGTCAAAAACAGGCCCAACAGATAAACTCAGAGCCAGAGAAAGAGCATCATTACACAGCAGAGTATGGGCCTCATGAGGGATCAAGAACTGAAGGCAGAGATGAGAGAGATAGCTGCTCTGTGGTTAAGAGTACTTGCTGCTCTTCCAGAGGAACTTCAGTTCCCAGCACCCATATTGGGTGGCTCACAACTGCCTGTTTTCCAGCTCCTGGGGATCCCATGCCCTCTTCTGTCCTCCATGGGCACCCACACACATGTGCACAAACATACACACAGGCACACAAATAAATAATACTATAAATGTTAAAAATAAAGATAGAGATCAATAAGGAAGACACATGTGCACATACACACACACACACAAACACATCAAAAAGATTTCTTTGAAACTATGATTTGGGAAACAGAAGCCCCTGAACAGTTTGCTGCAACCAGACTTCCCATTAAAAGGACACGGAGACAGTGTTAAAAGGTAACAGAAGACACCATCGATGGAGACTCACTGGACAGGCTGAACTTAATATTTTAAGACACCCTCACTTCCTTTCTGGAGCAGTCTCAGTTAAAGCTACTCCTCACTGGATGTAAATTATGGGGATCCTCCTAGGTGAGCTTTGACTGAGTTCCCTTTTCAAGCTACTCAGATCCCAATTCTAATTTTGTAGAGGGTTTCTACACTGTATGCAGTGATAAAACAATCCTATTTCTGTGGTGTGTTATGATGACTAGCTTTGAAAGTGGAACCAAATTTCTTTGGGAAGGTGGGCTAAGTAGCATGTCTTTGTCAACAATTCAAGGCATGGGAGGGTCTGTCTGCCACTCCCACTTCTCAGGTAACTGTGTTTCATTTGCTGATGTGAGATGAGATCTAAGTGTGTAAAGGGGTGAGGAAATTATAGGGAATATGTGGATGGTGCCAAAAGGGGGAAAAAATGAAGATCTCCCTGTTCTGTCTTCCTTTTTGCTGCTGTAAATCAACACACTGATGAGAACCAGCTTAAGAGACAAAAGGATTTACTTGGCTTACACTTTCAGATCACAGTCTACCACTGCAGGAAGTCAAGGCAAGAACTCAAGGCAGGAGCCAGACTCAAAACCCGTGGAAGAAGGCTGCGTATTAGCTCTCTCAAAGACTCATGTTTAGTTAGCTTTCTTATATTCTCATACACCCTCAAGACCACCTGTCTAGGGAGGGTACTGTCCACCGTGGGCTGGCCCTCCTACATCAATTAACATTCAAGACTGCTGCCCCAACACACACACACACACACACACACACACACACACACACACACACACACACACAGCCCAATCTAATCTGGGAAATCCCTCAATGCAGTTTTCCTTCTCTGGTGATGATAGGCAGTGACAAGCTGACAGTTAAAGTTAGCTACAACAATCCCACAGATCATAGTGTATAAACGAGCCACAAATTCTGGTGTCATAAGTAAGTCCAGGCTGTCAGTGGGAGGACAGTGGAGATGTGGTAATTACCCAGAGTGGAGGCGACCCCAGAAAGTCATCTGCTTTTAACTGCTGTGTCCATGAGAGGAGTCTCTCTCCAGAGGACTTGCAGTTTGAGGCTGAGAAGACTAAAGTAAGGCTCCCAGAGGCATGGTCCCTAACCTGTGTATGGTCTTTGCCAGCTTCTGGCTCTAAAACAAGTCCCATGTTGGACTCTGGCAAAGAGCTCTTAGATCTTGTCATTGCCAAAGGGAAAGAGCCTGCCTGCTTTTTGCAAAAGCAATCGACAAGGCATACTTGTCTCTTCAATTATAAATATCTCCTGTGTGCCTTCACTTTAAAGTTAGGATAAAGAGAGGATAGGAGATAAATATTTATGACATAAGAAAATGAGATGTGCATTCCTCCAATCAATAGGATTTTTTTTAAAGATGAGTACTTTGGTAACTAGGCTCAACTAAGTAACAATGAGGGACTGGAGAGATGCTCAGAGTGCTCTTTGAGAAGGCCCGAGTTCAATTCCCAGCACATACATTAGATGACTCACAACTACTTGTAACTCTAGCTCCGGGGAGATCTGATATGTCCAGCCTCCATGGGTACCTGCACATGTGCAAATACACAGAGGGTTAGCCAGACACACACACATATACACAGAGAGAGAGAGTGAAAGGGGGGGGGAGAGAATTAAAAAATAAACTATGAAAGCTGTACATGGCTTTGAAGACTCAGTGGTTGGTTGGTTGATTTGTGCCATTGCTGTCTTTGTTTCCTCTGTAGAAGGGAATTGTCAAATGTTCAGTATGGTTTATAGGTCACATCAACATTTCACAGCCATGAGAAGAACCAGGGAGCTCAAAGATATCCAGCTAAGGTGCCATAGGCCTTTAATGTGCTCTCAAGGCTCTGCTTAGGTGCAGAACAGAAAGAAATCTCTGGAAGGGTGAGAAGCTTGGAGTCAGACTAGATAGCAAGGCGAATGTCCAGAGACTCAAAACTGTAGGCCTTCCATACATACATAGAGCCTAACTGTGTGCATGACAGATGCCTCCGTAGAAATGAGAGTCAGAGACAGTAAAGATTCAGCTGGAACCTCATAATTTTGTTAAACAGTATGGGGAGGGAAGCTGAGGTGTGTGTGAAGAATTTGAACCACTTTATGGCTGAACTGGTACAAATTCAGATCCTGTCAGAAATTCCTTAGGAGATGCTTATTGGATTATTTTATTCTGATTTCAAGTGTGGAGTTTCTTCCATTTTAGCTGCTGAAACTGTGAATCAAATTCAGTGTGTGTTTGCCTTGATGATTCTTAATATTTGTCATTTTATTATTGTTGTTGTAGCCACCAGCTGCAAAGGTTGTAATCCACTCTTTTTAAAGTTTAAAGTTCCCCACATTTACTTTCTTACTTAGAAGTGTAATTACTGAGGTGGCTAATCTCAGTTGTCAACTTGATGAAATCTATAATCACCTAAGAGAGCAGCCTCTAGGCATGCCTGGGGCAGGGGGATTGTCTTGATTAGATAATTGAGATAGGAAGTACCACTGTGGGTGGAACTATTCCCAGGGCTCAGATCCTGAACTGTATAAAAAGAGAAAGTAAGCTAAACACAGACATTCATTCTTCTCTGTGCTTTGACTTTTTTCCCTTGAAACAGTCTCTGCCTTCTTTTAAACTTGTAATCTTGTTAGAAACAAGACTAAAACAAAACTAAACCAAAAAGTTATTATAAAACATTGTCATGTGAGATAGGTATCTCAAAATTAAAATCTGACTTTTCTTTGTTAACATATAATTTATCTTTATTTTATATTCATTGGTGTTTTGCCCACATTTATGTCCGTGTGAGGGTGTCAGAAACCCTGGAACTGGAGTTACAGACAGATGTGTGATGGGAATTGATCTTTCTTTGAAAAATCAGCTGGTGCTCCTAACCATTGAGCCATGTCTCCAGCTCCAAAATCTGACTTCACTTAAAATTAGAGTGATCCCTGATCTTCAGCTGGGCTGAGGTCAACCTGACCACTGTGGTTCTTCCAATGTCACAAAAATACATGCTTATTGAAAGCTCTGGTTATCAAACGGGAAGTTATCACTTCTGATTCTGGGCCATGATTCTCATTCCTCTTTCTCTGTTATTATATTTGGATTGGCATGTTTGAATATCTAAGGAGCAACAGAGTGGAGGGACAGATGTGAAACGGGAAAGGCATCCTCCCACACAAAATGCTTAGACCAGCCCTTGTGGAGTGGAACACACCTGTAGTGTAAGTCCAGCAATCCAGAGGTAATGGCAGGAGTGTCAATCAGAGGGAGGACAGAAGAAGAAACAGGCTCTACTTGGGGGCAGTGGAGGACACTTTAGCTTAGAATAAACACAGGAAGGGCTCTCCTCAAGAAAAGTGAGAGTGAATGCCTTATACAGTATGTTTTTATTAGGACTTGGTACTTATCATGATCCTGCCTGTCCTAGCTGGGACTCCCCTGCACAACATCTTTGCAAGTGTTCAGACATTGTGGCATGCTTCAGAGTGCTACATACAGGCATAAACATGTAAAACCCTGTTGGCTTTTCAGCAGTCCATGGGAGAGGAAGGACAGCACTATCTCCCACATGGTGCTACTAAGGAATCCACAGACACAGAAGCTTAGTGACTTTCCTAAGGCCATAAACAAGAGAACCACCAGCTCTGAAGTGACAAAGTCCTAAGTTCAAGTCTCAGATCTTCTTTTTGCTCACCTGTGACCTCCAGGATGTCCCAGAGCTTTCTTGACTCAGTATCCCCATATGGAAACAAAAAGTAGCTGTGGAACGCCCTGTGAGGTCACATGGATTGTAGATAAAGGATTGGGTGCATGACAGGTATTTGGCATCCCAGAATCCAGTGCATAACCCAGGATCTTCTGCCCCATAGTCCCAACTGTCTTTACTCCTTGATGTACACCTCTCTCCTTCTCTTTTCTCAGATACAAACTTGTAGAAGAGAAGGTCTAACCAAGCTGGCCTGGGCTGTGGACAACCACCACATGGGCAAATGGGAAGGAGTGGTCAACAGCGCACTACGCTATGCAGGATGGAGACAAGGCAGCACCTTTACCAGGGGAGAGAGTACCCCAAGTTCATTATCATCTCCTGTGCTTCTATAGCCACCTCTCACATGGAGGGTGCTTTTGATTCTCTCTTAGCGTCTGTCTAGGCACTAGTCCAGGAGGACAGAAAAAGGACTCCACTGTCTTATGTTCAGAGACAATATGGAAGCTCCCAGACCAGAGCATGACTGATACTCAATAAATATTGAGCAATTGATACATTTTGTTGACATTATTAAAGTTTTAAGTCTTTCTGGTCTAAAAAAATAATTGAATTAATTTTATCTTCACTAACTTTTTCTAGCTCCTAGATTGAGTCCTCCTGCCTATATATAGCTACCAACAAAACACTCAATCATAAAAATTCACCTCATATGACTCAGTAACTTCCCAGGGCTTAACCACTGCCCTCAGAATGGCTGCATGAGGTACCAGGTGCCTTGCCAAAGGAGTTGATTAATAAGTCAAATACATGTGAAATACTTGCCAAGAAGTATTACTATCAAAATGTCATGCAGTTCAAATATCTAATAAAAAAATTCCTAAGCACATACTGCGGGGAGGGGGGAGGTTGCAAACAATGACACCCCCCAACCCTACCCCTCCCAGCATTTTGATGTTAGTGACACCCACACAGATCTGCCCTAATTTTACTCTTTCTGGGTCTCCCATATCAGATTTGGTTTTGTTCTCAGTCTCCTTGTCTTCTCCTTGTCTGTCTTCGCTGGTCCCCTTAAATGTGTTCCTTCAAATAGTCACTAACTTGCTAGAGGACATGTCACAAAGAGCACTCTTCTGCCTTTCACAACATTTTTATCTGATTGAGCAGACAGGATTTCTATGAAGAAAACCGGAGGAATTAATTAATTAACTGTAACTGGATTTCACCTCTTTAACCTTAACTCGTGAGCAAACCTGAGCTAAATAAACATCTGACCATCCAATCTCTCTCACTTAAGGTTAACTTGAGTTTATTATTCAGGCCACTGCCCTTGTGTATTAGGCAATGCATAAATTACGCATACTAATTACCCTGGATGGGGCACCACTTTAATGAATTCTTTTAATTAAACTGCAACACAGTGGTTTTGCACAGGATGATCTATATTTCATCCTTAAACTACGTTAACCTTCATCTTTGTCGGGGCAACTCACACAAACCAACCAGAGCGGTTCTGAACTTAATTTATCTAAGTATGTACTTCCCACAATCCCTCTTGACTATCATAGGAAATTTTGAAAAATGTTTCTCTTCTGCTTTGAGGTTAAGAAATTAGATACATCTGCAAAAAGTTACGATTCTGCTGCAGATACTGAAGTTGGGTGGGAGAAAAAGAGGTAAATCAAGGCAAAACTAAAATGATAGTATCAACTAGCAAAGCACTGGCATCTTCAAAAGCCATGTGAACAATGTTTTTATTCATGAGTATTAAAAAGCAGAAGACATTCTTCATGTTGTATGTCTGTGTTCTTAAATTTATAGTAAATGATCTCTATTTTGAGTCCAGTTTTCTAAGAAATAATTAGTCTCCTTGGGACTGGAGATGTGGCTCAATGACTAAAAGTATGTGCTGGCCTTGTAGAGGACCTCTGTTAAGTTCCAAGCACTCAAATAGGGTGGCTTACAACCACCTGTAACTCCAGCTCCCGGGGGATCTGATGTTATCTTCTGGTCTCTTCTGGCACTGCACACATGTGCACATACATACCCATTCACAGACACACATGCATTCAACTAAAAATAAATCTTTCAAAAAATTAGTTCTCTCCACTATTGCTAGGATTGTATCAGATTAATGACTACCCTAATTGTCACCAGGGACTTTATCCAGTAGCTAATGGAAACAGATGCAGAGATCCTCAGTCAAGCACTGGGCTGAGCTCTGAGAGTCTCCTGAAGAAAAGGGTGAGGGATTGCATGAGCCAGAGGAGTCGAGGTCATGATGGAGGAACCCATAGAGACATCAGATGGGAGCTCATGGATTCCGGACCAACAGTTAGGGAGCTCACATGGTACCCACCTAGGCCCTCTGCATGTGTGTGACAGTTTTGTAGCTTGATCTGTTTGTAAGGCTCCCAGCAGTGAGATCAGGTCCTGTCCCTGACATTTGTCTAGCTTTTGGGAACCTGTTCCTCTTGCTGGACTACCTTGCCCCGCCTTGATGGGGTATGGGGGGCGGGGCTTAATACTACCTCAACTTGGTGTACTATGCTTTGCTCAAGCTCGTGGGAGACCTGCCCTTTTCTAAATGGAGATGGAAGAGGAGTGGATGGGGAGGGGGTAGGTGGGAGCAGGGGGGAAAGGAATGGGAGGAGAGGGAAGGAGGGAGAGAAACACAATGCAATGAACAAATATTACAAGATACTATTAGACTGACTTACATGAGACAGGCTGCACACTCCAACAACCAATGTCTTCACACTGGAAAGGCTGAGAATCCAGTAGTTCCTCAGGAAGCTGGATGCTCCAGGAGTTCCAATCTGGTGCTGAAGAATTTATGGATTCTTGCAGAGAGTTTTGTCTTTAGTCCACAATGAAGGCTAGAGAAGCCAGTGAAGGACAGCAACTGCAGTAGAAGCAATGGAGTAGATGCACTCACCCACAAACAAGAAGATAAGTAGGCAAAAACAGAACTGTTCTCTCCCTTATATTCCCTTTCCTATATTTTGGGATGCTGCCAGAAGTTGTGACTCACTCTGAGAGAGGCCTCCTCTTTAACTAATTCTTCCAGAAAATGGTCTCACAGACCCATTGAGAGGTCATCTTCCCAGATCCAATGAAGTTGATAACTGAAATTAATCACAGGGAGAATTCTGGACCAGGCTGACATACATGAGATTCTGCATAAATGAGAATAGAATAGAATAAAATAGAATAGATAGACAGACAGACAGACAAATATTCTCCAAAAACACATAACTGTCTTCTAGAGTAAAAGAAGTGTCCTTAGTAAAGGCCCTATTTAAGTTGGAACTATTAGCTGGGGGCCATTGTATGAACACATGTGCGCATGGGGGAATGTTTGAGTCACAATGACACAGGAATGGGGAATTTATTACATGAAGCCTGAGACCTTAGGAACTGGGAAGAACATGGTATAAGATGATTCCCCTGAGGTGGCTCAGTGTGTCAAGGTGCTTGCGTCCAAGCCTGATGACTGGAGTTCCATGCCCAGAACCTACAAGAGGAAAGAAGAGAACTGAATTTTGCATGTTGTCATCTGATCTCCACATGCGTGCTATGGTATGCATACACCCACCACAAACACACACACACACACACACACACACACACACACCAAATAAATGTAAATTTAAAAGAAAAAGATGGTGTGCCCACAAGGAAATTGTCCTCTTTTTGAGGTTCTGTAACAAAATAAGCCTGTGAACTGGTACTTCTAATAACAAGATGCTGACAGGTGACACTAGAAATGATTCCACAGAAACATTACAGAGTCTGGAACCAACCAGATAGATCTGAAATTCAGCAAGTTCTAATATAACCCCAAATTGCACAAAAGCAGCCTGTGGGATGCAGCACATCTTATTGTGACAAAGAAAATAAAGAATTTGAGGTACTGGGGCTGGGGAGACAATTCTGCCAGTAATGTATTTACCTTGCAAGCAAGAGAACCTGAGTTTAATTCCCAGAACCCTCATTAAAACAACAGCACACACACTAAGCAGTATGTGGGCCCCTGCACAAAAACACGTGTACATATGGAATATTTTATAACCAGCAAGGCAACAAGGCCTGGTTCCTAAGACCATATCATTATATTTAGAAATGGAGTCCCCATTCTTTCTTGAACTCCACCCTGTAGCTGCATTACAGGGGGAAGAATAATAGGCCTCAAATTCTATATTATGTCACTAATGCAGTTCTTTGAAACACTACATTCCCTTACTCTGGGGTCATTAAAGAGCCCCCTGTATTGGCTAATGAGATGGCCCAGCAGGTAAAGGCACTTTCCACACAAGTCTAGTGTCCCAAGTTCAAGCTCCAAGCCCACAAAAAGATGGAAGGAGAGAGCTTACTCCAGGGGCTCACTGTGGCATGCGTGCCCACATATACACTTCATGCACACATACAAAGAATTATGCCTTGCTGCCACTAAGCACAGATCCTAGGAAGAGGGAAATTGGGGAAAACTCAGCATACTCTCAAGGCCTCTTAGAAATCCTATTTGTATAATACCATGACAGGGGATGGGACTATTCCGATGCTGGCATGACCAATACCTTTCAGTTATTTACTGAGCCACAGTTACATGACAGACATGGGAGTTACAAAGATGGGTGATATCACAGGGGTCTTGTTCTCTAGTAGCTCACAGGGAAGAGAGTTTCAGACTGCAACCTTAATGTAGAAATGTGTTCCCAAGACAGAGTCAAATGCATCAGGGAATTGGTCTCTTCCACATTAAGTTGGGATGGAAAGATTTCCCAGACTATCATGCTAGAGGCAGGTACAAGGAGATCCTAGATACTCAGCTCACTCTGTTTTTTGATCAAAGGAGAAGAAAGGCTGATATACAAGGGTAGAAAAGAATTTAAAAGCAGAGAGTTCTAAGCTGGTAAATAGAGAAACCCAAGAGGAGATTTTTCTTTCCCCAATATTCTCAGCAAATTTAGCCACTTCCACAGCTTGTTAAGCAGTCATGAAGAAAACCTAGGCTCTGGAAGGGCATTTTATGGCTGTGATGGAGGGCCCAACTCATATCATGTGATATTGTAAATCATAACCTCCCTGGCTCTCATCTGTAAGCTTGGTTAAAACTAGGACTTCCTTTGAGGTGTTGATGGTGATTAAATGAGATAATAGAAGAGCAGATAGGCCCCTAGCAAGGGGACTGGGCCTTTTAGCTATTGTGATTAACATGAAGAGGGTAAGTTTACTTTCCAAATATTTCAAAGCTTACAAATAGAAGAATACCAGATACACTAATACTAGGTTCATATGGATGTGTGACACTAAAGACCACCCCTCCCATTGATTTTTAGCTTAGGAAACAAGTTACTATCACACACACACACACACACACACACACACACACACACACACACACACACACACACCACCTAAACAAAGACCTGGGATGAATTCTTAGACCCATAAATGCTACTTTTATCTACTCACTTAAAAGTTGAAAGTGTTATTTAAAATTAAAATAAAAAATGATAAAATTAAAAAAGAGTTGAAAGTGTTTAGCCAAT